ATATTAACTTCAAGTCATATTTTTTTTCCGGCTTTACTGAGGTACAATTGAGAAATAAAATGTATATATAATCAAGGTGTACAATGTGATTGTTTTTACATCACATTGTATACTTGAAATGCTTACCACAATCAAGCTAATTAATATATCCATCACTTTACAGAATTACCTACGTTTTCTGAAACATATTTTTTTCCTGTCATGTGTTATAATTATTTAGAACCAAATATATATAAATCACCTCTTAACTGGGAATCAGTTTATGCAAATTACCCAGTCTTCTTAATACATTATTTTTCTGCTTAAATTGGTCATTTTGTGCTGTCACTTGCTTCCACAACCCTACAGATGCAGTGGATCCCTCCCGTCCCTTGCCCCAGCTCAGCTTCTGCTTTCTTATATTCTGCACTGACTCAGGCACCTATCCACTCCCTCTTTTCTTAGTCTCCCTGCCTCATCTCCTGCTTCCAATGGCATAGCTTCCTCCTCAGATTTTAGGTTCAAATTCCTCAGAGGAATGAATGGCTGGTCCACTTGATCTCTGTCTTCCAGTTTGTGCCCCAAGCTTTTTGGGTTGGACCAGCTCTGAAGTTTCCAGCAAGTCCACAGCTTAGCTGCCCTGAGGCATTCAGCTGTAGAGAAGGGAGGTGGAGGCATGTGGAACAGGGTGAGAGAGAGACCCTTTGGGCAAAATGTAAGGCACAACAAACACTCTGGAGTTTGGTCCATTCAGAACATCACACTTGGAATATGGACTCCCATTCTAAATCCCAAACCAGGAGAAAGCCCTGGACTGAGTGGTGCCTTCCTGACTAGAGGAAAAGAGACTGGAACAATGAGGGAACATCACCCACAGGGACAGGGGAGAGAGAGAGGGGGCCACAGAGGACATAGTCTCCATCTTTACCTGTAGACAAGGTCTCCAAGCACAGAAGCTGAGTTGTTCTGGGTGTCGTGGAAGAAGTACCAGAACTGGGTATGGATGATACAAGGGGAACAGACTCCATTTCAGCTTTTAAAATATTTTTCTCACAGTCAGAGCTGCTCTATAACAGACCAGGCAACCTTTGAAGGTAATGAGCTGTCTATTTTGGCAAGGTTGTAATGGGCAGAATTCCTGTAAGTTTGCAGTGGGTTGAACTTTGAGGCTTTTGAGGTCTCTTGCAGCCCTGAGCTTTGATATTTGGAACACTTAGTTGAATAAATGAATGACTACTAATTCTTTTCTTGGTTGAATGAGGGTTGATTTGTTAAAGAAAGTGAATGAATAAATGAAAGAAATTAGTAGTTCCAAATAAATACAGAATACTTGACTGAATGAAGACTGGTTCATTCATTGATTACTTGAAGGAAGGTTGACTGGTTGGTTGCAAGAAAGAATTCATAAATGTAGGTCACAGATGAGCAGGCTGCTTAAATGAAGATTTGGTGGCGGATAGGATTCAGTTCCTTGGCCCTCGCTGTCTTCTCTTATCTTGCCCTTTATCCTGCTTGTCTTTCTTTTCTTTCCAAGTGTAGTCAAGAAGAAATGTTTTAATTTGTGTGCTGGGTTGCAAGACATTGCAGATTAGAGATTCATTTTGCATAACCAAGATTAGTTGCCCAGGCACATGCTCATGGTGACTGGTCTAACCTGCTTCTGAAATAATGGGTGATCTGAATTTAGCATCTTGGCCTAGGGAGTGGAACTGAAGGTCACAGCTGGGGCTGGGCCTGTCTGGTCCAGAGCTCTGGACCTCACGTAGGCTCCCTCATGTGTAGGCAGAAAATGCTGTCTTCTCTGTGGGTGAGCAAAGACTGCCTATTTGCAAGAAACTATTTTCCTAAACATTCTTTCAAAGTGCATAAAATTCCATCAGTAGAATTATACCTTCTTTACACAACAGAGCTGAAAGGCTGTTGAAATAGTACACTCCAGCAACCTTTTGCTCAGATTGATGTGCCTTTGGAGTAACCGACATCCTTGGTGAAATGTGAATGGAGTCAGTGAAGGAATGCATGTGAAGCCCTTAGTGGCTGGATTAACCAACTGTTGCCATAAGCTCCTTTGGTCTATTAGCCGAGCTCAGTGCTCCTAATGGGGAACAGAGGAACCTGGACCCAGGCTGGATAAGCTTTGTAGAGAGAATGAACAGGAAATAGCCTGAGTACTCAAGTACTATCATGGGCTGTAAACATAAGCAAGGGGCCATGGTGGAATCCTGAGAAGGAAACCTAAGTAAGGAAAGAGGCCCCAGAGACTTTCCCTCCCCTACCCGAGGGTTGTCTAGAGCTGGCTTGGGCACAGAAAGGAATAATATACTTCCCTGGTTCCCCTCATCCTGCCCTATCTCTGGAACTAGAGAAGCAAAGAACTTGAGAACTGCATGTAACTTGTATGGTCACTCCACCAGCTTAAGGTAAAAACTATGGTCACATTTTTTTCCCCATTAATTGAGATCCCACAAGATTTTATCCGCAGGAAGTTCAATCTGGCCCTCTAGAGGCCTTCCCCCATCTCACAAAAGTGCTCAAAACCCACAGGGACTAGACTAGCTCCTTTCCTCTAGAGGCACTGTTGAGCCCCAGTCTTGCTCCATCTTACTGTTCAGAGCCCCAGCAGCCGTGAACACAGGACCCCAAAGTCCAAGCTCTCATTCATACTCCTCAGCTCAGGCAAATTTCACCAGGAGGAAAGTCCAGAGGGGCTTCTACATCCTCAGCCCCAGAGTTAAGCCTGGCCACCAGATTCCTTCCTACATCACTGGGGACTCAGGGGTTCTTTCCTTCCCATAAGTGGGGCTCACTGAGGATGGGCATCTTAGGAGTCAAATAACTTTGAACCTCACAAGGAAAGTAACTAAACCTTCTTCCATTTGTGCCCTGGGGGCTCCTTTGTCCATGTCCTGCTCCTCCCAAATGCGTTGCCTTTTTCCTCAGCTCTGCATCCCATTTGTGGTTGGGAGAAGTGGCCTTTGCCAGGCCACAAAAAGTCCTGTTTTGTTCTCCCAGGCGCTATTTACATCTGATAAACTCAAATGGTAGACAGAACAGAGAGGGTCTCCTCTAAGGTGACTGCTAAGTCCTCCCCTAAGGATGAAGGAGAGAAGCTTCCTGCCCCTGTTACACATGGCCTCCTCCCAGTCAGTACCCCAGAAAGGAAGTGAATTCAGTGACTATTAGTCAGGGACTTCTATACTATGCCACTGGATTCCTCAGAAAAGTCCTCTGTGTGGGTTAAGACATGGAGAGGGAGACCAAGAGAAAGTGCCCTCACACACACATGAGCACCCTGCCAACACACACACACACACACACACGCTTGCACAGTTATCAGCCTCATGAGACCTTACCTGTCACTCTTGCCTCCAGTTAACGACTACCAGCTCCTCAGCAAAGGCTTCATGTAGACTTTGAGTAATTTTTCCTCTGATAAAAGAACACTGCAGCTAAAATATGGGTTTTGTTTTGCTTTGTTTTTTGTTTAGAGACAGGGTCTTGCTCTGTCATCCAGTCTAGAGTGTAATAGTATAATCATAGTTTATACAGCTTTGAACTTCTAGGCTCAAGTGATTCTCCCACCTCAGCCTCCCAAGTAGCTAGGACTATGAGTGTGTACCACTGTGCTTGGCTAATTTTTTCTTCTTCTTCTTCTTTTTTTGTATAGACAGGAGTCTCACTATGTTGCTCAGGCTGGTCTCTTGAACTCCTGGACTCAAGCAGTCCTCTGCCTTGGTCTCCCAAAGTGTTAGGATTACAGGCATGAGCCACTGCTCCTGGCCAAATATGCTTAAGAAAAAAAAAATTCCAGGCCAACCACAATGAGATACCACTTCACACCCATTCTGATGGATATAATTTTTTGTTAAAATAAAAATTACAAGTGTTGACAAGGATATAGGAAAATTGGAACCTTAGTGCACTGCTGGTAGAAATGTATAATGGTATAACTACTGTAGAAAACAGTTTCGTGGTTCCTTAAAAAGTGAAACAGAGGCTGGGCGTGGTGGCTCACACCTGTAATCCAAGCACTTTGGAGGCCAAGGCAGGTGGATCACCTGAGGTCGGGAGTTCAACACCAGCCTGACCAACATGGTGAAACCCTGTCTTTAAAAAAAAAAAAAAAAAAAAGTGAAACAGAGTTACCATGTTCATCTAGCAATTTCCCTTCTATACCCACAAAAATTGAAAGCAGAGACTTAAACAGATACTTGTATACCAATGTTCATAACAGGATTATTCTCAATAGCCAAAAAGTGCAAGTAACCCAATTTTCCATCAACAGATGAATGGCTAAACAAAATGTTGTATATCCATAAAGAGAAATATTATTCAACCTTTAAAAAGGAATGCAGTATTGACACATGTACAACATGGATGAACCTTGAAAACATTATGCTAAGTGAAAGAAGCCAGACACACACACACACACAAAAACAAGTATTGCATGATCCCACTTATATGAGGTACCTAGAATAGGTAAATTCATGGACAGAGAAAGTCCAGAATAAGAGCATACTGGGAGTAGGAGGAAGGGGAATGGGTAGTTAATGTTTAATAGTTGCAGAGTTTCTGTTTGGGAAGATGAAAAGCTTTGGAAATGGGCTGGACAAAGTGGCTCACACCTGTAATCCCAGCACTTTGGGAGGCCAAGGTGGGCGGATCACCTGAAGTCAGGAGTTCGAGACCAGCCTGGCCAACATGGTGAAACCCATCTCTACAAAAATACAAAAAAATTAGCAGGGAATAGTGCCAGGTGCCTGTAATCCCAGCTACTCAGGAGGCTGAGGTGGAAGAATCGCTGGAACTCAGGAGGTGGAGGTTGCAGTGAGCCGAGATCATGTCACTGCACTCCAGCCTGGGCAACTGAGCAAGATTCTGTCTCAAAAAAAAAAAAAAAAAGCTTTGGAAATGGATAGTGGAGCACAACATTGTGTATGTACTTAATGACACTGCATTTTACATGTAAAATGGTGAAAATGATAATTTTTATATTGCACATATTTTTTATATTACACATATATACAAAATATCCACGCCACATGTCTCTGCCTCTAGCAGAGTGAAAGCTTTCCATGGAGCTTTCTCTGTCTGTGGCTGAGCAGTTAGATGGGATAAGAGACACGGGAGCATCTGGCCAGAACTGGCACACAGGAGCAGTCTCTTCTACTTCACCCTTCATCTGCGTATAGACTGTCCTGACCAGATGAGCCCTTAGGGTTTACAGGGTCCACCTTATTCTGCAGATGGAGAAACTGAGGCCCTGAGATGGGAGTGTGATCTGCCCAAAGCCACACACTTTTGTGACTCACTGCCCAGTGTTCTCTCCTGGCTGGTATGTTGGGAACAGACAACTTTGGGGTTGGGCAGGATTTCCCTGGGAGGTGATGACATATGACCTCTGGGCTCTGAAGTCTCCTCAACTGGGCTAGGGTGGGGACCAGGTCACTGAAAGCTAGGATGGTCCCACACCCAGATGAGGACATAGCCACCTCCATCTAGATGTGGTAGGGACATCCCACCTACCCCCCAAGCATTTCCCTAGTCCCATTCCTCCCTCCCATCCTGCCCTCTCCTCCCATGTGACATGACTCCTTTGGCCTGTGTCCCCAGGAGACTCCTTAGGGAAGAGAATGACAAGATCGGACAAACTGATAGGCCTGGATGTAGGGTGCCCAGATTACTTTATCTGGTCAAGAAACTGTCCTATGCAGGAAAAGACTGCCCCCGGTGCTGCTGAGCGTTGACTTGGAGGGCAGGCATGTCTGAGCCCTGAGGTTAGGAGAAAACTTCCTACTACTCCAGGTGCTTTTCCAGGTCTGGAATTCCTTGGCCAAGAGATAGAGCTTCAGATCTTTTCCCAGCAAAGTGAGAAAGGTGTCATCTCCACACTGTCTGAATTAACAAAGGCAGTCAGGAACCAGGAGGGAGAGATCAACCGAAAACAATTAAGATGGCTCAGTTCAGGGACAGAGGTTAGTATAGACGGGAGGTTGGATAAAGGTCCTGAGCCTACCTAGGGTGGGGGATCTAGGAGAGCTTCTTGACAGAGGGAACTCTTAATCTGAATTATAGGCAATCTACAGGAGTTTGGCAGGCCCAAAGGATGGGAGCTGAGGAAGGTCTAGTCAGAGGGTTGGTTCTGGCACTGTCTGGGGGTCCAGTGTGAGCTGGGATGGGAGAGGGGGTTAGATGAGAGGGTTGCTCTATGTTCCTGGCAGCACTGTGGGGTAGGAGGATGGGATGAGTGACAGTGAATCTTAGAGGAGAATCACACACAGTGAGGGCTGGGTTCCCTGACCCCTTACTATCCTGGGAGGAGCCCTCCTGACGTGGGGAGGAGCCCTCCTGACGTGGGGAGGTAGGTCTGATGGCTTTCTTCCTCATGACCTTCAATCCCACTCAGGCCACTCCCTTAACATCTGCCTGATACCCGCCCTCCTGGAGGCTCTATTTCTCCACCCAGGAGCCCCCAGAAGCACTGGGCCTCAGTGGGGATGCCATGGGGGTGTAGGGTGGGCAGGGGTGACTATGAGAGGGCAGCTCAATCACAATTTGGAATCCTGGCATGTGAGAGCCAGAAGGGACCATAGAGATTGTCTAACCCAAACATTCCATTTTACAAATGAATAAACTGAGATCTAGAATGAGACACAGGTAGGGAACCGTCCGCGGTTTTTCAGTGAGTTGGATAGAGACAAAATCAGAACCCAGGCCTCTGATTCCAACTGAGATCCTTTTTTCTCTACCCAGGACCTTACAGGAAGGAAATAAGCATTTTAGCTAGAGCAGTGAGTCTCAAACTTAATTAAGTCAGTTAGAGACGCTGCATTGGTGTTAAATGTGGTTCCCTTAGATTCTTTGGAACTAATCTGCTGATAAATCTGGATATGGACACTGACATTTAGAGCAGCCTCTTTCATAAGATGCTGTGCATTCCAGCCAAGCCAGAATATTCTCATATTAACACATTTAGATTATTATTAAAGTGAACATGCAAAATGTAAAAATTCAGATAGCATATCTGCAGACAACCATAAATAAGGCAGGAAACCCTTATGAAACTGAAGAGCACAGTTTGAGAAATTGGGGGCTGAAAGGCCAGACAATCCTGGGGAGTGAGTGGGACAGATCAGGTTTAAGCTGCAGTGTCAATTGTGATGGGGCCCAGTGTGGGGCTGGACTCCTGCCATATGCCCACCCCATGCCCCAGCCCTCTTCCTCTGATGGGCGGGCCTGGGAGTGTCCTTCCTGTGTTTTATTATTTTTATTTTTTGAGACAGGGTTTCACCATATTGGTCAGGCTGGTCTCGAACTCCGAACCTCAGGTGATCCGCCCACCTCGCCTCCCAAAGTGCTGGGATTACAGGTGTGAGCCACCCACCCGCCCTTCCTGTGTTTTCAATCACATGGGAATCTGCAGGTTACAGATAACTCAGAGTTCACCTGGGCTGGACCTGCCCCTCTGGGCCTTGGGTCTTTATCTGTAACATAATAGTGTAGATTTGCCTGGAGGGACTGGAAGGGATAGGATGGGGAGAAGGAGACAGAGACGGAGCTGTCAGTGCAAACTGGGTTTTTTTTTTTTTTTTTTCTGGTAATTGATAAGTCAGGAGCTGAAAAGATAATCTTACCTTGTATTCTACTTCTGGGATGTTATCTTTCAGAAATCATGCAAAAGGAAAAGGCATGGCTCTAGAATGGACTGATAATCATACCTTAGTTATACCTAGAGCTGGCCCCCTAGCTGGCAGCTTACATTTTTGTCCATAGATAACCCACTGGTCCTTGTGGCAACCGTGGGAGCTGGGGACCCTCTGAGCTCTCTCGGGCCGTATTTCCTTTTCTTCCAAAGTGATATCAAGGTGTTATCACTGTCTCTGTTTCCATTTTCCCACTACCCCACCCTCAACAGATTTGAGCCCCTCCAGGGTTGCCTCCTCTCTATTCTATATTCCTAGGGTCCAGCAGCTCACCTGGACCACAGGAAGCACCAAAAGAGCTGGCTGAATGAATCAAGAGATCAAGTGCTCTCCCTGAGGCCCTAAAACAGCTTTGTGTCTGACGGCCCAGAAGGAAGCATGAGTGACAAGTCGGGGGAATCAGAGCTTGCACACTGTAGGCCTAAGCACTAGCCTCTGGGGAAAGGCAAGGCCAGCTGACCTCAGTGAAGTTAGGACCAGGGCGGAGGCCACCTCTTCTGGTTCACCCTCTGCTAGCCTCTCAGCTTCTTTGGCTCAGCAACACCCAGAATTCCGGGCATGTTTGCCTCTGGCCTTCTAAAAATACCCTGGCTGCCCAGCCCCTCCCAGATGTCTGAGCGCTGAGTCTGTGATTTCCCTGTCCGTAATGGGACAGCCCCAGTGTGGGTAGGTGGGGGTGTCAAGCAGCTCAAGCCACTTCCTCTGCCTCCCATCCCCTAGCTTACCAGAAGCTGGACCCAGCCCCCGCTCCCAACTTTTACAAGGCAAAGGAGGGTAGAGGGTAGATCATCTGAACTAGCAGACCTTAGAGATTGTTTTTTTTTTTGAGATGGAGTTTCACTCTTGTTACCCAGGCTGGAGTGCAATGGCGCGATCTCGGCTCACCGCAACCTCCACCTCCTGAGTTCAAGCAATTCTCCTACCTCAGCCTCCCGAGTAGCTGGGAGTACAGGCATGCGCCACCATGCCCAGCTAATTTTTGTATTTTTAGTAGAGACGGGGTTTCACCATGTTGACCAGAATGGTCTAGATCTCTTGACCTTGTGATCCACCCACCTCGGCCTCCCAAAGTGCTGGGATTATAGGCGTGAGCCACTGCTGCCCAGCCAGAGATTGTTTACTTTAGTTTCTTCTTGGGACAGTTGGGGATCTGAAGTCTAAGGATTGCTCACAGCACTTGCTCCATTAAGGTCCTCCTCACCCAATTCCCCAGCACTGTGTTCATGTCTGCTGCTGTCTCACTTCTCACATGCTACTTGGAGTCTAGGTCTTTGAGCCCAATCTGACTTCCCCCATGCAGCCGAGAACTCCTGACGGTAGTGGTGGAGAGGATCCCTGTGTCTCCATGGTGCCTGCAAGTCCAATCCAGAGAATGCCATCAGTAAATGTAGATTGGCCTGAACAACGTAGTAGCAGATGGGGCAATGCGTGGAGCACTGGGCTGGAGGACAGAGTCTTGAATTCTATCTAGTCCAGGGTCAGCCACTGTGATACTATCCTCATCAATTGCCCTGGACAAACCTGGTTCCCCTGGATTGGATAAGATGGTATCTAAGGACTGAGCCAGCTCTGCTGACCTGAAGCTGCAAGCTGATGCCCTGCTAGATATTTCTGTCCCTCCTCTGCTCCCTATGTCTGAGAGAAATGGTACAACCTGCAGGTTCCATCAGCTCCAGGTTCTCAGCTTCTGCTCCTCCCTCCGTGCCTCTGAACATTCCACCTCTGGTCCTAGCCCATGAGGCCCAGCTCTTCCAGGGGTGCCACCTCTGCCTCTGCTGCTGGGTACCCAGGGGTAAATGCATACCTACCCACCTCACTAATCATGTGACCTTGAGTAAGGTTTTGCCCCTTTCTGGGCCTCAGTTTTATCACATCTAAAATGGAATAATAAGGCCTTCTTTAAAGGAGGACTATGAGCATGTAAGAGATTCCCAAAGTTCTGCAATTATAGGCATGAGCCAGTGGGCCTGGCCTGAACCCCATTTTTATGTCTGGATTTTTTTCTCTGTTGAAGAATTGCTGCAGAAACCAGATTCTAAGTATAAAAGGCCCCTGGATATCTAAGATGATCCCCAAAACCTTGATGTGAATCAATTTACTCATACTTTACATTCTGACCATGAAGCCCAAGGTGATCTGGTTGTAAAAGGTTTAAAGGTTAATTGGCAGCCAATGCTGGGGATGAGAAGTTGCTGCTGCAGGCAGGCAGGTATTCACCAAGGCAGCAGAGAGAAGAGGCATCTGCCAGGCTGGTAGAAAGGAGACAAAAAGAAAACAGGCTGAGTGCAAAGGCTCACGCCTGTAATCCCAGCACTATGGGAGGCTGAGGTGAGCAGATTGCTTGGTTGCAGTGAGCTGAGATCACGCCACTGCACTCCAACATGGGAGACAGAGTGAGAGTCTGTCTCAAAATAAATAAATAAAGTAAAAATACAAAAATGATCCAGGTGTGGTGGTGCATGCTGTCGTGCCATCTACTTGGGAGGCTGAGGCAAGAGAATTGCTTGAACCTAGGAGGTGGAAGTTGTAGTAAGCTGAGGGCACACCACTACACTCCAGCCTGGGTGACGGTGAGACTCCATCTCAGAAAAACAAACAAAACAACAACAAAAACAACATTACATGGACAAAAGCAATTAAGAGCACCACAGATCGAGAACTTTAAGTTCAGCGTCAGGTACATCACTGTGTATCTGCTCTGGGCAAATCCCTTTCTGGGCCTTAGGCTCCCCATCTGTAAAATGAACAGGTTACAGTAAGGGCTCTGAGGGCTTAGGATTCTCCAGGAGTTTCTTCATGTGAGGTCTTTCTGTCCCCAACCATATAGGTCAGATGAGGTTTCATCAAGGTCAAGACTCCAGCTTCCAGGGTTTTTGGGTAATCAGTCTTTCCTGCCACAAACCCCCAAGTGTGGAGCCTGTCCTTTGGGGGAGTTCACTACTGCAGCTGTTTGGGCTGAGCCCCCAGAGAGAAACAAAACTATCCAGGGTCTGGTGCAGAGGCTGTGGCCCATGGTCTGCTTGCTGCCTAAGGAAGATAGGGAAAGGAAGTTTGGCTCTGGGTGAAACGGAAGTGTCTGAGGTCTGACAGTTGGTCTCAGTGTGGTCTCTGTAGCCAGGAGGGAAGTAAAACTGTCTGGGCAGCTGGTAGCTTCTACCCTGAGAGTCCATAGGATAATGACAAGCGGGGCCTGGTGCAGGCCTGTCCTCTGATCCAGAGCCCAAGCCTAGGCCAGGGGCAGTCCTTGGAGAGAGGCTGGCCCAAAGATTTGGAGGAAGGGAAAAGAATACCCTGAAACTGGTTCATGACCTTAGGCAAATCTCTGTGTCTTTTTGGGTCAGTTTCTCCCTTTGCAAAAATGGAGTTTGGGCTAAATTTGCCTGTGCAATAACGGTTTCTGGAATGGTGGGCACTAGGGATATGGAGACAATTTGGTTACAAGGAACCTGGATTGTTACCCTGCTGGCAAGGGACTCTCAGCCTAGTGGGACATAGTTACAGAATCACTGGGTAATTGTGATTATCAATGTGTGTATAGGTGCTGAAGAGCTGTGGACATACAGCACTAATCCAGCATTAATCCAAAGATCCAGGGAAGGTTAAGCAACTTGCCCATAGCTATTAAGTGGTCCACCTGGGGCCAGAGTCTTGAAAGGAAGGGGAATTCAGAACAGGACATGGCTAAATAGAAGTCTAGAAGACCAGTCTGCTTGTGCTTGCTGCTTGCTGCTATCATCAAGATCTGAACAAAGTTATGGAGACCCAGAGAAGGGGTCTTCATATTCTGACTTAGGAGAAGGAGGAAGACTTCACAGAAGCAGGGGTTTTGAGCTGGGGTTTAAAGGGTGACTATTAGTTTATCAAGTAGAGAAAAGGGAGAAGGGTGTTAAAAGCAGAGGGAACAGCATATTCAGACGTGTGATGTTGCTAGAAAAGTTGTGTGTGTTTGTGTGTATATATACGCAGTATGCTAGGAACAAAGAGTACCTAAAGTTGTAGGACTGAGAGATGGGGTTGTGTAGGTTGGCTGGAATCACACAGTGAAGGGCCTTGAATGTCAGGTTAAAAAGCTTGGAGGGCAGTGGGTAGCCATGAAAGGGTAGTGAGCAGTGAGTGCATGGTCAAAATAGCCTATTAGCAGGCTTGCTTAGGCTGCTAGGAGGGCAGAGGACTGAAGTATAGGGCTAGTGATGGGCAGAAACAACTGTAAAGAAGCAGTAGCAGAGAATTGAGGGTGTCAGGTGTGTCAGGCCTAGTCCCCATCAAGAAATGGAAACTTTTTTTCAAGAGACTACATAGGTGTGGAGGAAATGAGAATTGAAACCTAAGCCCTGCTGGGCTGTGGTCTGGGCAGGTGCAGTAAGCAAGGGAAGTGAAAGGGTTGGGGTGACTGGCAGCACAGCCCTGGAGAGGAATAGCCTGTGGGTGATATTGAGGGCCTGTCCTCAGGCTGGAGACCTGTTCCAGGATGGGGCAGGGTGAGAGGCTATGCCTGACCAAGCCCCCAACTCTTGCTCCTGCCCTCAGAGATCCCATTGCCTTCTGCCAGGCCCTAACTCTTTCTCCTGAGATATTCCTTTCCTACTCCCCACCCCTCCATATGTCCCATCCCCACCTTTCTAGCATCCCATGGTTCCTGCCCAGGTCCTGTAGGCCCTCCAGCAAGGCTGCCCTAAGTAGCACAAGTTCTTTGGCTTCTTCCACACTGACTTGCACTGCTCATGCTGCCTGAGCAGTAGTCTGACCATGCTTTGCCTTGAGGCCTGTTTTGTTCTGTATTGTTGGTTCACCAAACTAGTCACTGTTACTTCACTGTCACTGCACTGCAGGTGCCCCTGTCTTATCTGACTCTGCCCACAAGAGCTCTTAATAAGTTAGAATTAGATCCTCATGCTCCTAGAGAAGTTAGCTAGCATAGAGTATGTCTGGTCCAAAGCATGAACATTGGGAGAGGCTGTTTATGGGTTGTGCTGGTGGGTTCTTTGTTCTGGGGCAAGTCTTGACATGATTGTGTCTATTTTTTCATTTGTTTGTTTTTGAGTCAGAGTCTCACCTCATAGCCCAAGTTGGAGTGCAGGGGCATCATCACAGCTCATTGCAGCCTAAAGCTCCTGGGTTCAAATGATCCTCTCACTTTAGCCTTCTGAGTAGCTGGGGCCATAGGCATGCACTGCCATGCTTAGCTATTTTTTATTTTTGGTAGGGATTATGAACCATGAGGGGTGAATTGCTTCCTGTTGGTCACCAAATACCTGACCCTCCACCTGGATCTGCCCATTCAGATCAGTCGTTTCCAGATGCAGGCTCAGGTATTTGGGGACCAGCAGGAAGCAATTTACTCCTAACTGTTCAGATGAAGAGACTTTAATGAGAGGACTACTGTAGTGAGATGTGGGCAGGTTAAGAGAAAAAAAGACACTGAGGCACCTGCCCAGAGGCTGGCAATAGTGGAAAAATCTTACGGCCCAGGACTCAAATGGGTCAGGAATCATGTCCAAACCCAAGTGGAAGCCAGTTAGCAAGAAGGCCTGGTGAGGCAGCCCATAGGGGTCCACCTCCTAGGGCACAGTGCAGGGTATGGGTGTGGGTGCAAATGGAGACTAATGGTCTCCAGATGTGGCTGAAGAATTCTCACCCAGATGGAATATCTGGAAGATGCCTCTGGCCTTGATGTAGTCACTTCTCTGTGATCAGTGCTGGTTTGGAGAAGGTTTTTCCAGCTGCTCCAGAGAGAAAAGGTGAAGCTTCACCTTCAGAGTCATTCTGCTACCATCTAGAAAGCACGTTCTGGTTTTGATGGTGACATACTAGAGAGTAACAGAGCCACGTAGGCATCAAGGGTACCAAACTATTCCAACACAAATAGTGACAGAGGCCCAGAGAATATCAGACCTGTGCCAAGGGCAAACAGGCTCAGGGCAGAACATAATAGAACATGGTAGAGGGAAGATGCTGTAAGCTGATGTTGGAGAGGTACACAGCATCCAGATTATGCAGTGAAGCCCATGCAGCTAGAGAGCAGCAGGGCCAAAAGTCCAGTGGGTCAGTCTGAATTGGAACTTGACTCAAGCTCTTAACCAAAACCCTAAGCTGACCCTGTAGAGAAAAGGGAGAAGGATGTTAAAAGCAGAGGGAACAGCATATTCAGATGTGTGAAGTTGCTAAAAGAGCCTGATGAATTGCTGGAAATGTTGCGTCTGTGTTTGTGTGTATGTACATATATGCTGTGTGTTTGGAACAAAGGGTACCTAAAATGGTAGGACTGAGAGATGAGGCTGTGTAGGCTGGCTGGAGTCACACAGTGAAGGGCCTTGAATGTCAGGTTTAAAAGCTTGGGCTAAATTTGGAGGGCAGTGGGCAGCCATAAAAGGGTTTTGAGCAGTGGGTACACAGCCTATTAGTAGGCTTGCTTGGAAGCTGATGTGCCTGTTTGTTTGTTTGAGATGTGCAGCTTCTAAGTGCACATTTATTTGGGAGCTGAGTGCCCAGTGTGCAGATAGGAAAGGTACTGGAGTTAGTGTGACCAAACCCAGGGTGTCTTGTCTTTCAAACATACCTCATCCTCTCCTTATGGAGCACTTACTCAAAAGCCTCCCCCAGGTCAGGCTCAGCACAGCGGGTGAAGATATAGGCTGAACATGAGCAGAGGACAGGCCTGTGCAGGCCCTCAGGCATATCCTTCCTTAGGCTGCTGACTGGGCCTTGTGTTCCATGACCTGGCTACCCACTCTTAATGTTCCACTGCTGTTAAACCTCTGAGTCTTCAAGCCTTCAAATCCACCCATCCAGTATGCCTGCTGGGTGCCATAAATAAGATCTCCTCCCAGAAGCCTAGTGGGTCGGGACATTGATAGGGTGGATGAGATATCCAATATATATATATTTTTTTAGCCAGGCGCCAGGATGTAGTGCAGTAGCACAATCTCGGCTCATTGCAACCTCTGCCTCCCGGGTTCAAGCAGTTCTCCTGCCTCAGCCTCCCAAGTAGCTGGGACTACAGGCGCACGCCACCACGCCCAGCTAATTTTTGTATTTTTAGTAGAGACGGGGTTTCACCATGTTGGCCAGGATGGTCTCAATCTCTTGACCTTGTGATCCACCCACCTCGGCCTCCCAAAGTGCTGGGATTACAGGCTTGAGCCACCATGTCAGGCTGAGATAGCCAATATTTATGCCCACTATAGAGTGTGATAAAACCATAAAGGACTACTACTTTTTAAACTGTGAACAGAGCCAGGTGCAGTGGCTCATATCTGTAATCCTAGCACTTCGGGAGGTCAAGCTGGGTGAATTGCTTGAGCCTAGGAGTTTGAGACCAGCCTTGGCAACATGGCAAAACCTTGTCTCTACAAAAACACACAAAAAATTAGCTGGGCATGGTGGCATGTACCAGAAGTCCAGCTACTCAGTAGGCTGAGCTGGAAGATTGAGCCCAGGGGGTCAAGGTTGCAAAAGCAAACTGTGATCACACTATTGCACTCCAGTCTGGGTGAGGGAGCAAGACCCCATCTCAAACAAACAAACAAACAAACAAACAAACAAACAAACAAACAAACAAACAAACAAGAAAAGAAGACAGAAGCAAGGAAGGAAGGAAGGAAGGAAGGAGGGAGGGAGGGAGGGAGGGAGGGAGGGAGGGAGGGAAGGAGGGAAGGCGGGAAGACATGAAGGCAGGCCAGTAGGCAGGCAGGCAGGCAGGCAGAAAGGAAGGAAGGAAAGAAGGAAGGAAATTGTGAGCAGACATTCAAGAGGGCCACCTAAGTCTACACCATCTACCTCATTTCCCAGGATTCTCTATCCAAGAGAGATTTGGATAAAGCCATGTTTCCAAACCAATACCTGTTAATTCAACTTTTCATTCTCCACTCCCAGAATACTACAGGTATATTAGTCATTTGTTCAACTACACGGTGGCAGCCCAGCTCCCGTGAGGAAGGGCTGGGTGACTCCAGTAACTGTGATGGAGTGGTTAGCCTCTGGACACTGGAGCAGGACCATCTGTGTTCAAATCCTACTTCTTACTAATTGTGTGATCTCAGGCAAGTGACTTAACTCCATTCTTTCTTTCTTTCTTTTTTTTTTAAGATGGGGTTTCTCCATGATGGCCAGGCTGGTCTTGAACTCCTGACCTCAGGTGATCCACCCATCCTGGCCTCCCAAAGTGCTAGGATTACAGGCATGAGCCACCACTCCCGGCAACTCCATTCTAAAATCAAGATCATTGAGTGTTGTGAGAATTAATGGGTTGCTGGGTGCGGTGGTGCATGCCTGTAGTCCCAGCTATAGGGAGGCTGAGGCTGGAGGATTGCTTGGGTCCAGGAGTTCTGGACTGTAGTGCGCTATTCCGATTGAGTGTCTGCACTAAGTTCGCCATCAATATGGTGACCTCCCGGGAGTGGGGGACCACCAGGTTGCCTAAGGAGGGGTGAACTGGCCCACGTAGGAAATGGAGCAGGTCAAAACTCCCATGCTGATCAATAGTGGGATTGAACCTGTGAATAGCCACTGTACTCCAGCCTGGGCAACATAGCGAGACCCCGTCTCTTAAAAAAAACAACAACAGAGAATTAATGGGTTAACACAAAGCCCTCAGAGCTATGCCTGGTATCTCCTAAGCATTCAAGAAATGTCAGCTATTATTATTACAGCTATTATTAGGAGCCAGCGGGGTATGCTTATAAACAATTTCCCATACCCAGCAAAGCCAGAGCAGACACACACACTGGCTTAACCCACAGCCACACTTGGAAATGGGGGAGGGTAGGGAGCTATAACTCTGTTTTAGAGATGAGCAGAGGCTCAGAGAAGTCAGGGGCATTCATTCATTTAACAGGCATTATGGTGTGATTTCCACATGTTAGGCACTGCCTCTCCTCCCACTTCAAATTTAGTGAATCCTCAGATTGGGGACTGGAGGCTAGGGACAGAGGACTGTGTATTTTAAACAAGCACCCCCTGGTGATTCTCAGCTTAGCCAAGTTGGGAAGATGATTGGATTCTAAGGTATTATGGCAAGCATCTTGTCATGCTCCAAGTTTAGACCTAGGTTTTATGGGGGATACTAACTTTCGGTGGCAGATTAGTAGTTTAGCAGTTAACAGCACATACCCTGTAACCTGGTTAATTGGGTATACATCTCAATTTGCCACTGGCAACATGACCATAGGCATACTTAACCTGTGAATGCCTCATCTGTAAAATGAGGCTAGTAATAGTACCTACCTCAGAGTTGTGAGAATCACATTCATTTTTTATGTGAAGTGCTTGAAAGGGTGTCTGCCATATAGTAACTATTATAAAGCATGAGTTATTATTACTAATGTACACAGTGTAGACAAACATCAGACAGAAGGCTGGGGGTGGTAGATCTGATGCTTCTTACCACACGATTGGCTCTGCCTGCAGCGTTGGCAGCGTCTGTCTCTTCAGGGAGGCTCGCCACCTGCTCCCTTCCACTGGAAGAGTTTTCCTGAGCTGGGGAATTCCCTCCCATGGCGACAGACAGCAGCTCCCAGCATTCTGATGCCATGTACTCTGCCCACAGCAGCATGAGAATTAGATCACATCTTGGGCCAAGGCTGGACTGGAAGACAGGCAGGTATAGGGGTTGGAGGTATCCATTTAGGAAGGCTGCAAATTGGAGGAGGAGTGCAGACCCTGGGGAGGCTCCTCTCCACACCCTGGGCCAGCTTTGGCTGAGGGTGGTGCTGCAGACAGGGGAAGGGCGGATGCCCACAGAGGACAGGCAGGATGCCAGGGTGTCTGCCAGCCCTCCAGGACGCTCATCTTGGCTTGCTGCCCTCAGGCAGGGAGCAAGCAAGTGTATTTTGTTTTGGCATTAACTCAGCAGGCTGTGGGAAAACAGGCAGGCAGGCATCCTGAACAGGGCCTGCTCCCTTCACAGGCCAGCCCATGGTGGTGACAGAACTGCCACCTCTGCATCCTGCTGTCCCTCTTCCACAATTCTTATCTCCCTCTCCTGATCCCTGCCTGGCCCTCCTTACCCAGCTCAGCCTGAAGGATCCTCTCCCTGAAAAGGGCCCTCAGACTTGGTAGCATCCTGTGCCTCCCAGGCTAGGCCCTGGAGAAACTCCCTGGTGGAACCCCTGGTGTTACAGATGATAAAACCTGGGCTGAGGGAAAGGCAGGGACTTCCCAGGTCCTCACAATCAGTAAGGAGCAACTAGGATTCTAGTCGGGCTCAATCTCCCCCATGGAAATTCCTCTTTTTGTGTTTTATTCTTTAACTTACAAATAAAACCATAACAAAATGACGGGAAACTGAAGGAAAACTCAACAAAGGGAACACATCTGTGGGTTAGCACGGTTGCAAGCACTTTACATAAACATTCCCATTTAATTCTCACTGCAACCCTGCAAAGAATCATTCTCTCTCCTTTATAGATGAGGAAACCTGGCTGAAAAGAAGTTTCGAGACTTAAAAACTCAAAGCTCGGGAAAGGAGAAATCAGACATCTAACCCAGGTTTGCTTGACCTCAGACCGCTGTAACCTCACCCCTCCACCAAAACTATTTTACTCATTGTTGCCTAATCACAGTGCAGCTCATGGTGGAAGGTGCTGATCAGCGTTCAAATACAGGCAGCCACTCAGCCTTCCCTGATGCGTCCCAGGATCAGCAGTTATTGCTTATGTGGCTCCTTAGCCCTTTGCAGATTATATACCTGTTATTTCATTTAACCTGCACAGCCCTCCAAGAGGAAGACAGGACAGAATTTGTTATTCCCATTTTATAGATATAGAAACCAAGTTTGAGAGGACAGTGATATGCCAGAGGTCACACTCAGTGAGTAGCTGGCAAAGATAGAATTAGCACCATGGTTTCCCGCCTCCTAATGTCAAAACCATGTGCCTATCAGCTCCTATGATAGCCCTGGGACTGACTGCTCATTCACTGTACACCCCCACCCCCACCACACAAAGTTGTAATAGTCCTTGGCAAGGGCAACACTTGACAGGATAATTCCTGGTCCTAGTGCCTGCTTCTTAGGGACTTGCCTCTGGCCTTACATCTCTGCTACCACCTGGTAGGATCTGGGTCCCTATGACCTTCCTGGCCCTGCATATCTCATTGCTGTGACCTAGGTCTATGTATTGAGATTCGGAGCTCCTGGTGGGCAGCTCCTCACCCCAGAGTCCTGCTCATGACTAAGCCCAGGATAAGGGGCTTATTGAGTGTCACTATAGAATTCAAGACCTCATGACTTGAACAAACTCACTGTGTGTCTTAAGGAGAATCCTGCTCTCTTCTGGGGCTTCAGTCTTGAAGCCTCATTCACCTATGCTGGGATTCTGTTCTGAGAGCTGACAGTAGAAGAGACAGGCACACTCACACCAGGCTGCCAGGAGGCTGTTGTTGAGGGAATTAGCTCAGGGAGGAGCAAAGGTGTGGGTAGGGAAAGGTGACTAGGGGTAGGAAGGAGATGAATGGGGGTGGAATCCATAGACCGCACTGTCTGCTGATGCATCACCAGCTGGGCTTGGTGGGGCTCAGGCAGGGAATAGCTGGCATCCAGACATGCTGACAAGCATTCCTGAACAGCTGGTGCCAATGCAGGTGGGGGATAATGACAGAGAGGAAGACAGAGTAGAGAGGGCTGTGGACCCCAGCTGCAGGAAGGGTCAGGGATGCCTTGGTAGAGTGTGGGCAGGGGGACTGGCAGCCACTTTCTCTGGAGAGAACCTTTGATGGAGTCAAACTGTCTTGGGTGTGTGCTCTGGACTGGGTGTAGTGTGCTACTCATATTCTGGCCATGGTAACGGCTGCTGTATACTTTGTCTCCCTGCAGGTTTTCCCAGGAGCTCTGGAATATCAGAATAGCTGATCTTCTGATATCCGTTCATATACCTGCTCCAGGCCAATTGTTGATCCTAGCTCTGACTTAACCTTAGAATCATATTCCTTGTCAAGTGGGAGACTGCACTGCAGCATGCTGGAGGGAGAGCACAGCTTCAGAACCAGGGGCCAGGCCTCGCTTTCCTTCACTAGCTGTGTGCCCTTGGGTAGGTCATTTCACTTCTGAGCTGTAGCCTGTGAAATGGGGTTATATGTATTATGAGGAGTTGTGAAGGTTGGAAACAATGTAAATAACATGCCTATTTTAATGTCTGGAAAATGGAAGCGGCAAAATAAAGGACAGCTGTTATTAATTTCTTTTCAGAGTGAGATTCCATCTGTGGCCTCTTTGATGGAAGGGAGCCAGAACCTGCTTGCACAGCCCCAGGGACAGGGAGCTCACTCCCTCCAGGGGCAGCTCTGCCTGGAAAAGCTCCTTCCTGAGATGCAGCTAAGTCCTGTCCCAGTTTTGTCTCTGGGGCCATAGTGCATGCCGCTCTGCACCATTTCCCCAAAGAATCTCAAGTGATCTTACTGGCAATACAGTGCTTGCCTGCATTGCAGGAGCCAGGCTCTGGAAGGCCCCAGCCCTATTCAAAATGGTACATTTTAAGTCAGGCTCACATAAGTCACAGAAATCCTTTCCCCTGTCCTCTGGATTCTGGAACATAATGGATTCTATCTTCCCAAGTCTGCTTGTTTTCCTGGGTTAGGAACTCTCCCAATTCCTTTGAACGTTCTTTATACAGGAAAATTCCTCATCGGACAACTTGGTTATGGTCTCAAGTCTATCATGTTAGGGAAAGTCACTTATCTCCACTGAGCCTCCAGTACTTCATCAGTAAAAATGAAGAAAATAATACTATCACATGGGTAAAGATTATATTGGAAAAGTAATATGAAAGTTTAGGGTTTGGAAAAGTCACTTGGTAAGTATTCAAATAATGTTTTTAAAAAATCACATTTTTGAAGTAGGAGTTAGTAGGTAAGCCTATCTGGTATTGCCCTTAGCTCTTTATAACACTTCCAAAGGAAATCATTCCAGAGAGTCAGTGCCAGTCCTGGCTTCAGAATGATGGCAAATCTCCTAAAGCCCGAGGGTCTGACTTCTTTTGTGAAGGGACTCCTAAGTTCTAGGCTCACTCATCTTATTCTGCAGGTGGGCACCAAGGCCCAGAGAAGGCCCACCAGATCCATGATAGAGGCTGGATCCCATGTCTCCCAACATCTAGCACCTTTATACTCCAGTGATCATTCCTAAGAAGAGAGGTGAAGGGAGGACAATCTCTGGGCCAGACCAGTTGCACCCAGGACTAGGATTCAGCAAATCTTTGTTAAGCACCTACTATGTGCATGACACTGCATCTGGGCCAACTACTGTTACCTCTCGTCCACTAGCCCTGTGTTGGTCTGGACCTCAGTCTTGGTGAAAGCTGATTCTATCTTGCTTAGCTCTAGAACCCCAGTGCTTGCACAGGCTGGTAACAAAGCAGTTCCTTAGCAAGAATTTTTTGAATGAATGATGAATCAATAAGCACTTATTAAGCACTACATGCCAGGCCCTGAGGTTGGAGAAATTCTATTTCATACAGCAAGCCTGAGGCCAGCATTATACCTCCATTTTACAAGTGAGGAAACAAGGCTGAAATAAGTGAATTGACTAGCACAAGGCTTCACAATAAATTGGTGTGGAGCCTAGAGCCCAGGCTAGGCTACCTGTGGCCTGGGCTCTAGCTGCTGCCCCACAGCTATCAGGACCTTGGGTCTGCATCCACCTGTTCCCTTGCCCCAGGCCTTCCCTGACTTAATTAAGGATTCTGGTGAAGGGCTATCTTTTTTTTTTTTAATACTTTTTTTCAATTCTAAGTTTCAATTCAGGTAGAAGTGCTAACCTTTGAAGGCAGAAATAGCAAGACTAGTCTCCTAGTTCATACACAGCTCTAGATTAGTCTGACTCAAAACACAGCTCTGACTCTATCACTTTTCTGTACAAGAATCTAGCCTAACTCACTGTAAACAACCTGGGTTCAAGTTCCACCTTTTCAATTTCTGGCCTTGTGGTCATCTGGCAAGTTACTTGGGTCTCTCTAGGCCTCATTGCCTTCCTCTTTGGCTGGACTGCACTTCTGAGAACAGCTGTCTGGGGGCTCAACTTCTGAAAAAACAGTCAAGCAATCCAGCTCAGTCTCCACACAGCCCCGGGACTCAAAAAACTCCCTGGGCATGGGGAAGAGGTAATCCTCTTCTGAGGACTCCAAGGGAGGCCGATAACCCTCCTCGTAGATGGTCTGGACAGAGCAGGAAGGTGTGTGTGGTGGTGGGGGGCCCTACTTAGATAAGGTGTGTGTGGTGGTGGTGGGGCCTTCTTAGGGGGCCCTCACTGGCAGATAAGGGAGCCCGAGCTCGCCTAGCCTGTTAAGGGGTAGGCAAAGTGAACCGGCACCCAGAGATCCTGACTCCCAGACAAGGGCTTCCTCTATGGCCCCTCCTGCCTCCTCTACTTTTCCTCGTGCTTATTATCTTGCACGTTTCTGTTTTAAAATAACCCATAGAACCTTCCTGCCGTGGAAATTCTAGTCCTGCTGTGTGACCTTCAGAAAGGCTTCCCTCTAAGGGCTCTTGCCTCCCCGTCTGTGAAATGGGGGCCTTGGCCTTAATGTTCTCTCGACTCCCTCTCAGCTAAGTCCGTGATCTTTGACTTGAATGCCCTGCAGTAGAGAGCCTCTGCTTCCTTTGCAGGGCGCCTTTCCGCCCTATAATCGCAACGGCCTAGCACCTGCGGCCAGCCGCAAAGCGACTTGTCCTCGCTCGCCCCCCTCGCGCACATCTAGCTGGTAGGGAGAGAGGGTGTTGAGGGACTGAGACGAAGCAAAAGCCGGAATTCTGGTATCCCATAGGCATGCTAACCCCCTCCCCACTGCAAACATTTACCCGCGAGCGTCGCCCCCCACCCCTTACACACACACACACACACACACACACACACTACAGCCGCAGAGGCAGACGGAAGACGGGGGTGGCCTGTGCGCGTGCGTCGGCGCGGAGCTCTCTCCCGCCCACATGCGCGCCCCCGAACTGAGGCGCGCGCCGCGGCGAGCTGGCGGGAAAGCGCGCGGGAAGCCCCGGGCTGGCTCCCAGCGTCGGGGAGGGAGGCCAGGAGGCGTCTGGAACGTGCCACTCTCAGAGAGAAAGGGGGGATTTTCGCGTGGCGCTGGCGTTTTTACACCTCCCAGCCACCGACCAATCCGTTAGTTCCCCCCATGCCCCCTGCGGTACGAAGTCCCGTGCCGTGTCTTCTCTCCCTCCCGGCAGCCCGGGCCTGCCCCTCGAACCCCGCTCTGGACGAAGCGGTTCCCTTCGCCACCGAAGCGGGGCGCTGCGCCGCGCGGCGAGGCCGGAAATTCCCGCGGCTAGAGTGGTGGAGCCCTAGCGGGGAGCGCGGCGCCACCTTCCTCCTCCCCGGCGGGCGGGGGCGTTAGGCCCAGTGAGGGCCGGGCCGCCTGAGTGGGTGGGGTGAGGGCCGCTGCGTCCGCCCGGAGCTGCGGCGCCGGTGGCGGACCGGGAGCGCGGACAACGCGGCTGCGGCTCACCCGCCACCCGGCCGGCCGAGACCCTCGTGCCCCCGCTCCCGGGCCCCCGCCCCCTCGCCATCTCCGCCTCCTTACTCACACACCCCCGGGCAGTCCGGGCCCCAGGCCTTCCCGGCGCTCCTCCCCCTTCTTCTCACACTCGCTCTCTGGCCGGGGTCCTCCTGCCGCCCGCCGGCCTGCTCTCTCCGGGGCAAGTCCTGTTTCTTAGGCTCTTCTTCACACACGCGCGCTCGCTGGGCTATCCCTTCCTCTCTGGCCCTCCTCCTCCAGGTTCTTGCTAACGCTGCCGTCGGGGAGGGTTGATGTCCCTTCAGCATCATGCAGCCGCCGCCGAGGAAGGTAAGGGCGCAGCTTGGGGGCTTTGGGGTTCGAGGTGGGGGATGCGTATGGGGAACGCGGCAGGGGCGACCGCTGCGCCCCCTTGCCCTTCCGCAAGGGGCCGTGACCGCCCTCGCCTTGGGCTTGTCACCGACTTGCCTTCGGCTCCAGGCGGAGGGCCGGCGTGTGAGGTCCTTTCCGACAGAGGGGCGGTGGGGGCTAGTCCCTCCTCTACGCTGGAGACCCCTAGACATTTCACAAGAGTTTCGGGTGTGCGTTTGTGTGTGCGCGCTTGGCAATGCTGTGCGCTGCAAAGTGCATTCTTGGGGCTGCACCGTGGGGGAGGCGGGGACGCCCCTGCAGCTTTGCAGAGCCTTGTGCGTGTATGATTGTTTAGTCTGCACCAGCTTTGAGCCCCCCAGTCGCTTGTCGCCAGCCCCGCCCATTTGCAAATTTGCGGGGGTTTTGTTTCTAGCCTAGCCTTAGGGTTTGGCCTGCTTTTCCCACGGGGCGGCCGAAAAGAAGTTGGAATAGTCACCGCCTCCCCAACCCAAGGGAAAACAAATTTAAGGATTGACGGGTCCTGCCTCGCCCTCGGCTGAGGGGCGAGGAGGCTGTCGTGCTGTCTAATGAAAAGCGAGGACCCGGCCCTGGAGGTGCGTGGCGTGTGCACTGCAATCCAAGCTTGGGTGGCCAGGGTGGGAGTGACGGGTGCACCCGGCTTGTCAGCAGCCTCCCCATTGTGCCCTTCCTCAGGTTTCCCAGGGGCCGAGGCTGTGTCCTTGTCTTTTTAATCCTACAGATGGATACTAAATATCTACTCTGGGCACTGGGTGGATGAGGCCGTTCTGTCCTCCCCTCGTGGGCAAACATTTGCCTAACGCCTAACTCACCCGTGTCTGCTGTCGCTGCTTTCTCTCTTTCCTAATCCGGGTTTCTCCATTTAAGTGAGTCTTTCTTTCCAATATGTACCCCCACCCATCCTGGTGGTCCTGCTTCTAAGGCCGCGATTCCAGACCGACCATAACTTCAAACCCTGGGGTTCCGGCCTGGAGGGCGGGTGGGCGAGGCTCTCTGGCCAGCAGGCATTTGCTGTTCTCGCTGTTTGAAGTGGAGCCTCCACGGGGACCGGCTTGCCGGGGTAGTTTAAAAGCACTGCAAATGCTGGAAGGTCACTTTTGCTTTCTCCTTTGTGAGAAAGAGATTGTGATTTGATGCGCTGTCTGCAAGTCGAGGGCATCGTTCTGAGACAGTGTGCTTTTTCGCAGCCATTATGGAGTTATTTTTGTAGTCGATTCATGCATATTATCATGATCGTGTAAATATTGGTCATTAAATATTAGGCATTCTTAGGCTCCCAATCCCCATCCACACTCTGCTCACCTCTCCTGGTGGTTAATGTCTTTGAATCCTTTTTTTTTGAAATAGAAGACAGGCTCTTTTAAAACTCTAGGAAGACCTAGACATAGACTGAGCTTGTGCATGAAATGGAATGACTGGCAGTTTATTTTGCACGTCTTTAGTTTGTAATATTTATAGTCGTGTATTTTCATTCAACTTTTGTTCAGGCTATTTGGCTTTAATTTTTCATTAAATAAGTATCTTCAATAACTAAAACTAGATGGCGAATAATGAATGGATTTATGGTCTTCAGGGGAGAGGCGACCAAGAGACATATATTCTGACAGATGTATTTTCCTTAAGCAATTTTTTTGGGTTAAATGTGTAAAAAGACCTTAATAAATATATGGTACATTTTAGGTGAAAGTTACACAAGAACTGAAAAACATTCAAGCTGAGCAGATGACAAAACTTCAAGCCAAACATCAAGCAGAATGTGATTTGCTTGAAGATATGAGGTAAGGTTATAGTAAATAGTTCAAGGACTTCTATTTCTCTGTTTCAAAGAACCTTTGAGTTACCAAACCCCAGGAACTGATGATGGAATTTCCTTTTGGATTTCCTGCTTTAAGTCTGTTAGAACTTTGACTCAGCTGGAAATTAGAACTGGAACTAACACAATACAAACTTTTTCCTTCAGTGGGGAAACCTGTAATGCATACATGGTATTGGGGAAAAAACAAGGACCTTAAATTAAGTCTCATTAGTCAAATTATAATAATTAAAGATTTTGTTTAAATAATCTTTCCTGGGAGTTGTAACAATCATTTTATTGACCTTAACAGTTTAACCAGTTAGATTTTAAACCAACACCTGTGGTTAATGGTTAATATCTGGGGGTGAGCCAGTCAATCCCAGATGATTATATGCTCTCTTTGGGTTAGAATATGACAAATACAACTTTATCTTTGAGTGCCAAATTTAGTGAGAGGTGTGTTTATCATATTTTACTATATTATTGAGGTTACTCATTCATAGTCAAGATGACTTTGAATAGCTAAGACATCTTGCTAACATTATGAAAATCAGTATTGTTTTTACCAGAGGGACAGATGACTTATTTTAATGAAAGAAATGCCACCTATTTAACAGTTTTGTAATGCAGACTGACGGTTCAAAGATTTTCGTCAAGGGTGGAAGATGATTTCCTTGTTGAAATAAGAGTGGCTGCAATTTGTATTTCCCCTTAGTAATACATTTATCAAATTGGAATTGGGTGTGTAAGCCTCATCCTATTTTTCTGGTGGTACACTGACTTCATGTTGGTTTCATGAAAAATATTAACTCTATGGTGTTATGATAGAATTATGTGTTTGGATTGGTGTTCGTAGCCCAAAGATTTTAGTTTTAAGAATTTCCTTTTTTCCTCTCCTATACTTAACTAAGGCACTATAAGCATTTTTGCAGTATACCTGTCTTCAGGGTTTCTGACTAAGACATGTAAATCTACTCATCCAAGCTGGATATATCAAGATTGTTGTTTCCTGAAACTGAAAATTATAATTTCAATTCTTTGTCTTCCCCCTCATTATTATGACCATAAAAAATATTTAGACTTCAAAATTCCTAATCGAGGTTGTGCACAGTGGCTCACGCCTGTAATCCCAGCCCTTTGTGAAGCTGAGGCAGGCAGATCACCTGAGGTTAGGAGTTCGAGACCAGCCTGGCCAACATAGTGAAACCCCTGTCTATACTAAAAATGCAAAAATTAGCCAGGCTTGGTGATACATGCCTGTAGTCCCAGCTACACTGCAGGCTGAGGTAGGAGAATTGCTTGAACCCAGGAGGAGGAAGTTGCAATGAGCTGAGATGGTGCCACTGCACTCCAGGCTGGGCAACAAAGTGAGACCTTGTCTCAAAAAAAGAAAAAAAAAAAATTCCTTTGTGAGATATCTGAAACTCTTGATACGGTTAAAAATGGAAGGTTTTTTAACATATTAAGGGAAGTAAGAAAATTCTAGATGAAGAAAATATTAAATTTTCAGAAGCAGTTCAGGAAGGCAGAATTAGTGTGTAAGGGAAGAACCTGTGTGGGGTATGGGCAGTCAATGGTTATAATAATTCCTGTTGATTGTATCTTCTAAAGATTTCTTGATTGCATTTTGTCTCCATTTTCTCCCTATTTGTAGCTTGGTGCAGGAGCTTATGGTTAAGGATATGGACATTGGAGTCAGAGAGTCCTTTGTGTCTTAATATCTGTGCTGACTTGTGGAAAATGAATTAATCTTTGTAAACTTAAGTTTCTTCATTTGTAAAATGGGGCAATATGGGCTCTGTTCCTCAAGGTTGTATAGATAAATGACAATGCATGTGAGATGTGGCACACATCTAAGCTAAGTTGATGAAGTCTGTTGTTCCTGCTGTTGTTGCTTAGTTTGTATTATTGATGATCCATCACATTTTGCTTGCATTATAGTAGTATCCTAATTATTGCAGTAGTGTCCTTATGCCTTCCATCTCCCATCTCTCCTTTTAAATATGTCTTCCACATTGCTACCAGTTAGCTTCCTAAAAACATAACTGTAGGCCAGGTGTGGTGGCTCATGCCTGTATTTCCAGCACTTTGGGAGCCTGAGGCAGGTGGATCACAAGGTTAGCAGTTGGAGACCAGCCTGGCCAAGATGGTGAAACCCTGTCTCTACTAAAAATACAAGAATTAGCTGGGCACAGTGGTGGGTACTTGTAATCACAACTACTTGGGAGGCTGAGGTAGGAGAATTGCTTCAAGCTGGGAGGTGGAGGTTGCAGTGAACTGAGATTCCCACCACTGCACTCTAGCTGGGGTGACAGAGCATGACTCTGTCTTGAACAAACAAAAAACATTATTATAGATTATTCCTCTGTGGCCTGCTGGATAGAGGCCGAACACCTTGTTATAGTATATATGGTTCTCTGCAACCCATCTGCAAGCTTCTTTTCCTGGCTTAATTTACTACCATTCCATGCCCATGCATCCTTCCTCTTTCTTCCGCCTGCTCTGGTCACTTGGGAGATCAGGTTGTCCAGTTGTGCACTCTACATTCATGGTTTTGTGTGTGCTGTTGTCTTTGTCTGGTGGTACCTTCCTCCCACTTTTTCACTTGGCACATTCTTGGTTACCAGTAACTGCAATTTCCTTGTTCTTTGTGATCTCAAAGGATTTTGATTTTGCATATGCTCTGGCATCCTCCCTCATGTGAAGTCTTTGGGGTTATGGGCCAAGTATTGCTCATTTTCTTTATACCCTTTGGTTAGCCGGTCAAATGAATGTAACTGGCTATATTTAAATGTATCTTATTTTTTCTTAGGTGAGATACTGTGCAAACTCTGTAGGGGGCTATAGGGTCCTCTGTAGAGCTTGTGTTATATACTTTGGTTCATTTGAGCACTTTAAATACACATCCTGTTTGTTGTAGAGTATATAATATGTAAAGGTGGAGATTGTTGGTGCTCAAGGATTAACAGGTTTTTTTTTTTTTTTAAAGGAGTCATTGTGTTCTGTTTATATTAAATTAAAGGAAGTAATCCTTTTACTTTGAGTTGTGAATTGGATACTTTATTACCTGCTAAAACATGAGTTTAGGTTTCTGATTTGCTTTTTTTTTTTTTTTCAGTGACGATATTGAAAAAGTTGAAACTTGCCTCCTCTTGGTATTCATGATAACTTCAGTTGCCTGAGGAGGGAGGTGATCTGGCTTCTCTTGTCTGCCCTAGCAGATGAAATGATCTTTTAAAAATTCATTGAAAATCTCTGAACTTAGGTGTTTTTTGTTTGTTTTTGAGACAAAGTCTTACTCTGTCAGCCAGGCTGGAGTGCAGTGGCGCAATCTCAGCTCACTTCAACCTCCGCCTCCTGAGTTCAAACAATTCACCTGCCTCAGTCTCCCTACTAGCTGGGAGTACAGACATGAGCCACCATGCCCAGCTAATGTTTTGTGTGTTTTTAGTAGAAACGGGGTTTCACCACTTTGGCCAGGCTGGTTTCGAACTTCTGACCTCAAGTGGTCTGTCCGCCCCTTCAGCCTCCCAAAGTGCTAGGATTACAGGTGTGAGCCACCGTGCCTGGCCTGAACTTGGGTTTTTATATGAATTAAGTTGTAA